GAACAAATATGGAAGAAGATCATTTTAGGATCAACATTTGGATGAAAATAACTAAAAAACAAAGAAAACCTGAAAAATGTTCAGTAATTTATAACTATATTAACACAAAGGTTTGCAAATAAACTACTGATTGAATCTGAATGATTTCTGTTAAATTCTGATCCTCTAAAGGTTTAATTTATTCTGGTGTTTTAGAAGAAATATCTGGATTTCTTAATTTATCTTAAAATAACCCATCAGCAGATTTAAAAGTTCATCACTTATAGGAGCTTTTTTTATTGCATCAGTGATTCCAGTTCAGTGAATTTAAGACTTTTATTTATTTTATTTTTCTAAATGAGAAAAGGAGCCTTTTGAATCCTTCACTATAGCAGAAACAGCCTGTCAGGAGCAGCCTGTCAGGAGCAGCCTGTCAGGAGCAGCCTGTCAGGAGCAGCCTGTCAGGAGCAGCCTGTCAGGAGCAGCCTGTAAGGAGCAGCCTGTCAGGAGCAGCCTGTCAGGAGCAGCCTGTCAGGAGCAGCCTGTAAGGAGCAGCCTGTCAGGAGCAGCCTGTCAGGAGCAGCCTGTCAGGAGCAGCCTGTCAGGAGCAGCCTGTAAGGAGCAGCCTGTCAGGAGCAGCCTGTCAGGAGCAGCCTGTCAGGAGCAGCCTGTCAGGAGCAGCCTGTCAGGAACAACCTGTCAGGAGCAGCCTGTCAGGAGCAGCCTGTCAGGAGCAGCCTGTCAGGAGCAGCCTGTCAGGAGCAGCCTGTCAGGAGCAGCCTGTAAGGAGCAGCCTATCAGGAGCAGCCTGTCAGGAGCAGCCTGTCAGGAACAACCTGTCAGGAGCAGCCTGTCAGGAGCAGCCTGTCAGGAGCAGCCTGTCAGGAGCAGCCTGTCAGGAACAACCTGTAAGGAGCAGCCTGTAAGGAGCAGCCTATCAGGAGCAGCCTATCAGGAGCAGCCTGTCAGGAGCAGCCTGTCAGGAGCAGCCTGTCAGGAGCAGCCTGTAAGCAGCAGCCTATCAGGAGCAGCCTGTAAGGAGCAGCCTGTCAGGAACAACCTGTCAGGAGCAGCCTGTCAGGAGCAGCCTGTAAGGAGCAGCCTGTCAGGAACAACCTGTAAGGAGCAGCCTGTCAGGAGCAGCCTGTCAGGAGCAGCCTGTCAGGAGCAGCCTGTAAGGAGCAGCCTGTCAGGAGCAGCCTGTCAGGAGCAGCCTGTAAGGAGCAGCCTGTCAGGAGCAGCCTGTCAGGAACAACCTGTCAGGAGCAGCCTGTAAGGAGCAGCCTGTCAGGAACAACCTGTAAGGAGCAGCCTGTAAGGAGCAGCCTGTCAGGAGCAGCCTGTCAGGAGCAGCCTGTCAGGAACAACCTGTCAGGAGCAGCCTGTCAGGAGCAGCCTGTCAGGAGCAGCCTGTCAGGAACAACCTGTAAGGAGCAGCCTGTCAGGAACAACCTGTCAGGAGCAGCCTGTCAGGAGCAGCCTGTAAGGAGCAGCCTGTCAGGAGCAGCCTGTAAGGAGCAGCCTGTAAGGAGCAGCCTGTCAGGAACAACCTGTAAGGAGCAGCCTGTAAGGAGCAGCCTGTAAGGAGCAGCCTGTCAGGAACAACCTGTAAGGAGCAGCCTGTCAGGAGCAGCCTGTCAGGAGCAGCCTGTCAGGAGCAGCCTGTAAGGAGCAGCCTGTCAGGAGCAGCCTGTCAGGAGCAGCCTGTAAGGAGCAGCCTGTCAGGAGCAGCCTGTCAGGAACAACCTGTCAGGAGCAGCCTGTAAGGAGCAGCCTGTCAGGAACAACCTGTAAGGAGCAGCCTGTAAGGAGCAGCCTGTCAGGAGCAGCCTGTCAGGAGCAGCCTGTCAGGAACAACCTGTCAGGAGCAGCCTGTCAGGAGCAGCCTGTCAGGAGCAGCCTGTCAGGAACAACCTGTAAGGAGCAGCCTGTCAGGAACAACCTGTCAGGAGCAGCCTGTCAGGAGCAGCCTGTAAGGAGCAGCCTGTCAGGAGCAGCCTGTCAGGAGCAGCCTGTCAGGAACAACCTGTCAGGAGCAGCCTGTCAGGAGCAGCCTGTAAGGAGCAGCCTGTCAGGAGCAGCCTGTCAGGAGCAGCCTGTCAGGAGCAGCCTGTCAGGAGCAGCCTGTCAGGAGCAGCCTGTCAGTCCCTCCTGGTCTGTCAGCCTGCAGGAGTTTGGTCCCTCTGGGGCACCGTAGCTGAGCTTCCCCACCGGGTCAAATGTCACTAAACGGCGGGGAGGCCTGACCAGACATGTAGCTGGAGGTTGGTGTGTGTGTGTGTGGGGGGGGTAAATTTATATAATTTTTATTTTTTTCTCTAATAAAAATAAGATGATCGCATCGTTTGACTTTTAATGCAGATTTTATAATAATCAACTTAGTGTTTTTCTAGAGACATTTGGTCAGAATCCAGATTCCTGCCTTTAGTGCTGAAACATGAATGATTATTTATCACATCAGGCGGCTTAATGAAGACGTTTTAAACGAGCAAATTATTTCAGCTTAAAGTCACAGAAAGAATTAAAAAGAACAATCTCTGGGGGGGGGCGGTGTTTCAGCTTTCTTTTTTTGGGCATGGGGGGGTATATGGAGCACAATTCTGATGTGAAGCTGATTCATTATTGCAGTTTTTAGGACTGGACTCGATATGCAGAAAATAAAACTGGACTTAAACCCAGAAATTCACTGAAACAACAAATTATTTTCATTGGAGTTACTGGAACTGTGAAAACTACTGAGAAATGAGAAAATCCCGAAATAAAAACACTTTACTGTTAAATAAATGAAAGTTGAGGAAAAATTTAAATAATTTACACAAAACATCTGAAAAGATCAGGATTTCTAACCGACACCGGGTTTTCCTCTCTGCCAATGAAGCACTTTTTATCGGAAACATCAAAGAAAAGAAGCAACAAAAATAAAACTAGCATAATGACCTGATTACAAAGATCAGCACAGGCTGCAGCGAAGCTTTAAATGCATGAAGAACTATGGAGGAAATCAAAGTGTCTCCATAGCTGGATGCTTTCAGTGTGCTCAGGTTTAAACTGGGATGCATAGACGGCACCACAGCTTCTATTATTAGGCCTGATATTAAAGTCACAGAACGACTTCACCAGGAATCTGCAAACGTTCGGAGTCCAAAAAAGGCACAAAGATTTCATTCAAGTTTATCTAAACCTCAGTGCTTCAGACGCATCGGTTAACCAATCACAGGACGGTCTACCTTAGATGGGCGGGACTAGAGGGAATAGAACTGGACCTGAAACACGGGGCAGCAAACGAAGATTAGACTGAACCTCCTCCTCTACCAAGACAAGCAAGCAGGAGGAGGCAGAGAATAAAGCTGGAGGAGGTGCAGAAGGAGGCAGAGGATAAAGCTGCAGGAGGTGCAGGAAGAGGCAGAAGATAAAGCTGCAGGAGGTGCAGAAGGAGGCAGAGGATAAAGCTGGAGGAGGTGCAGAAGGAGGCAGAGGATAAAGCTGGAGGAGGTGCAGAAGGAGGCAGAGGATAAAGCTGGAGGAGGTGCAGGAGGAGGCAGAGGATAAAGCTGGAGGAGGTGCAGGAGGAGGCAGAGGATAAAGCTGGAGGAGGTGCAGAAGGAGGCAGAGGATAAAGCTGGAGGAGGTGCAGAAGGAGGCAGAGGATAAAGCTGCAGGAGGTGCAGGAAGAGGCAGAGCATAAAGCTGGAGGAGGTGCAGAAGGAGGCAGAGGATAAAGCTGGAGGAGGTCCAGGAGGAGGCAGAGGATAAAGCTGCAGGAGGTGCAGGAAGAGGCAGAGCATAAAGCTGGAGGAGGTGCAGAAGGAGGCAGAGCATAAAGCTGGAGGAGGTGCAGAAGGAGGCAGAGGATAAAGCTGGAGGAGGTGCAGAAGGAGGCAGAGCATAAAGCTGGAGGAGGTGCAGGAGGAGGCAGAGGATAAAGCTGGAGGAGGTGCAGGAGGAGGCAGAGGATAAAGCTGGAGGAGGTGCAGAAGGAGGCAGAGGATAAAGCTGCAGGAGGTGCAGGAAGAGGCAGAGCATAAAGCTGGAGGAGGTGCAGAAGGAGGCAGAGGATAAAGCTGCAGGAGGTGCAGGAAGAGGCAGAGCATAAAGCTGGAGGAGGTGCAGAAGGAGGCAGAGGATAAAGCTGCAGGAGGTGCAGGAAGAGGCAGAGCATAAAGCTGGAGGAGGTGCAGAAGGAGGCAGAGGATAAAGCTGCAGGAGGTGCAGGAAGAGGCAGAGCATAAAGCTGCAGGAGGTGCAGAAGGAGGCAGAGGATAAAGCTGGAGGAGGTGCAGGAGGAGGCAGAGGATAAAGCTGCAGGAGGTGCAGGAAGAGGCAGAGCATAAAGCTGGAGGAGGTGCAGAAGGAGGCAGAGCATAAAGCTGGAGGAGGTGCAGAAGGAGGCAGAGCATAAAGCTGGAGGAGGTGCAGGAAGAGGCAGAGCATAAAGCTGGAGGAGGTGCAGAAGGAGGCAGAGAATAAAGCTGGAGGAGGTGCAGAAGGAGGCAGAGCATAAAGCTGGAGGAGGTGCAGGAGGAGGCAGAGGATAAAGCTGGAGGAGGTGCAGGAGGAGGCAGAGCATAAAGCTGGAGGAGGTGCAGAAGGAGGCAGAGCATAAAGCTGGAGGAGGTGCAGGAGGAGGCAGAGCATAAAGCTGGAGGAGGTGCAGGAGGAGGCAGAGCATAAAGCTGGAGGAGGTGCAGGAGGAGGCAGAGGATAAAGCTGGAGGAGGTGCAGAAGGAGGCAGAGGATAAAGCTGCAGGAGGTGCAGGAAGAGGCAGAGCATAAAGCTGGAGGAGGTGCAGAAGGAGGCAGAGGATAAAGCTGGAGGAGGTGCAGGAGGAGGCAGAGGATAAAGCTGCAGGAGGTGCAGGAAGAGGCAGAGCATAAAGCTGGAGGAGGTGCAGAAGGAGGCAGAGCATAAAGCTGGAGGAGGTGCAGAAGGAGGCAGAGCATAAAGCTGGATGAGGTGCAGGAGGAGGCAGAGCATAAAGCTGGAGGAGGTGCAGAAGGAGGCAGAGCATAAAGCTGGAGGAGGTGCAGAAGGAGGCAGAGCATAAAGCTGGAGGAGGTGCAGGAGGAGGCAGAGCATAAAGCTGGAGGAGGTGCAGAAGGAGGCAGAGCATAAAGCTGGAGGAGGTGCAGGAGGAGGCAGACTGGTCTCCTGGCAGCTCTGCCTGCAGGCGTGGAGCAGGGAGGCGCTGTGGAGGAGAAGCCATTTGTTGGCTGATTTTCAGAGCGGTTCTGCTCGGCTTCACCGGGTGTCAGGATGACTTTGGCTCTGAACAAACCAGCCCCCCCCCCCTCCCCAGGGAGGCTGTCAGAGCTGCAGAGACATGAGAGGATTTAAAAGGAAGAGAATGGAAAGGGGGGGCAAAGGTGCAGCCATGCAGGGAGATAGAGACAGACGTGAGGGCAGAACATGGGGGGGGGGTGGGGGTGGGGTGATGATTCAGTAGCAAAACCAGAAGTTAGACAGACCCGCTGCCAAAGCACAACTAAAACCCCTTAAATCACTTAAACCATCAATCAAGAACAATTTCAGGTTCTCCTTCAACTTTCCTGCAGGATTCAACATCTTGATTTAGTTCTCCTAACTTTGCAATAAAAACAGGCTCCGCCCCAAGCAAACAGGGGGGGCCCCGGTTACACCAGCAGCTCCAGGACTCTCCGCTCTGAGCCGCTCACTTCATCCCACGGTTAAAGTGCTCCAAAACGGTGGAGTTAGTTTTCTCAAAGATCCACTGCTGGCTGGAGGACGAAGGGTCACAGGTGTTCATGAAGATCCGCCTCTCGTTGGCGTTGCTGTCCACGCAGCTGTTGCTGACGGGGTGATAGAGGCTTTTGTCCTGGAAAACCAGACAGGAAGGAAGACTGTGAGACTTTCTGATGGATTATTAACAGATTTCAGAGATGATTTTATTTATTCCAGACTCTAAAATATCAGGAACGATCCGGCGTTTAGTTTAGCAGCAGAGGCAGCTGTTGGTCTGTATGAGCAGCTATGGAAAGACATCAGCAATATAATGAGCCAACATTTAAAGGGATGAAAGAATAAAATTAATCTTATTGACTCCAGTGATCTTAGAGCTTATAAAGCAAAAAAATATAGAAAATGACTGATGAGCTTTATTTTAGACTCTAGATTTATCATTTATATTGATTATATTGTTTACATTGATGACAGGAAATATAGAAAAAAAACGTTTATTTTCTCTAAATATATATATTAGTATGTTGAGCAGTGGGTAGCACTGCTGCCTTGCAGCAAGAAGGTTCTGGGTTCCATTCCCGGCCCGGGGTCTTTCTGCATGGAGTTTGCATGTTCTCCCTGAGCATGGTGGGTTCTCTCCGGGTACTCCAGCTTCCTCCCACAGTCCAAAAACATGACTGTTAGGTTCATTGGATTCTCTAAATCCTCCTTAGGTGTGAATGAATGGTTGTTTGTCTCTGTGTTGCCCTGAGATGGACTGGAGACCTGTCCAGGGTGGACCCCCTCCCTCACCCGTAGAAATCTGCAGATAGACACCAGCCCCCCTCACCACCCCAGCTGGGATGAAGCGTGTCAGATCAGTGGGTGGATGTTGCAGGTTTATGAATAAGGTGCATCTAAAGCTTGGCCTAACTTCCATCATCAGCAGGAAAACTAGGGGAAAATGACTGGAAATGAATGAAGGTGCCCCCCCCCATACTGTGGTGGGATCCTCAGGGATCGGTGCTGAATTCATTGAATAAAATGACCAACATTCTTCTACCACATCATGATTGATGGACAGACAGTAAAACAAAGGTTGCTGCCAAAGGTGGTTCAACTAGATTCTATTAAAGTTTCAGTTTGTCTAATTAGCATAATAACATAAATGCTGCTGTATAATTTTAAACTGAGTAAGGAGAAAACCATCACCAGATGCATTAAAGCCTCTGAATAAAGCTGCACATTATTGATTCCTTCCCTGTATTCAGAGTCAAATGGCGTGCCGTACCTTCCTGTAGCGCCACAGCTGGTTTCCCCTCATGCCGTGGCAGTCGTACAGCGTTACAGGACTGTGGTGTGAAACGGCATCAAAGCAGACTTTCTTGGTGTGCATTGGGTCACCAACCCTGATGTCTTCTCTCCAGCCAAAGGTGAACACCTGCAGGAAAGCAGGACTCCATTAGGAATCCAGACTAATCAATCTGGGAAAGCAGACTTTGATCATCTGGTCTCCATCCACCAGTACTTTACTGGTTTTCATCTAAAGCTTGAAGCTGCAGCGTCTCTGACTCTCCCATATTTCTCCTTCTGTAAAGACCTGAGGAGATCATCCACTGAGGGACCTGGAGGGATTTCCAGCAAACCCATTTCTCTTCCGTGCCAAAAAACAACGACTTGCAAACATGTCGCAAATAAAACTACAAAAGCTCTTTGGACAAAAGCAATTAAACTGTGGAAGCTGTGAGACTTCCAGGAAACTAAGGGGACGTTTAATCCATTAAGGTTGCATTATGAGCTCAGTTTAAAGCTTCTCCAAACACCAGCCTTTGGAGACTTTAGGAGGTAATGAAGTCCTCGCCTGTGTTTGACATTCATGTCCGTTTAGCTGAGAGGGATGATTCATAAAGAGACAATAAGAAGGTGAAACCAGTGCGGACGAATGTTAGATCCATACTTTATTACTGGAATGTTTGGTCAGAGAGACTGAAAGGTTTATTATAAGAATCAGGTTAATAAACCTAAAGCTGCAGAATGACACATCATTAAATATATTTCATTGCTTCAGATGTTAGCAGCTGGTTTCCTATAAAATGTTTTAACTGATCGCTCATCAGAACATTGTTGTTTTAATCTGGACTCTTAATTAGATCTGCAGTTAGACTGAAACTGCTAAAAGCAGAGCAGTAAGAGGAAACGTTTGAAAACTTTACTGGGTTAAAATCAGCCTGATTGCATAAAGAAGCAGCTCTCTGGTAATCATATAATATATATTAGCAGGAACATGAGCTCATTCAGTTTCATACGGTTCTAAGACTTTACAGATTTCTGCACCAGCTGCATACAATTGCTTTCCAATTAAATTAGGTTGCCCTGTTGCATTATTATGTAATATTATTATTGTTTCTGGTCCATCTGTTAGTAAAAAACTAAGTTTTTCAGTATTTACCATAAAGACACGTTTAGTGAGTAAATAAGGAAGTAAATTCTGCAGCAGAGACCTGGAAAGAAAAACTCTAAGATCAGGTGTTTCCTGCTTCTTTTAAACACGCATTAAACTCTGATATTGTTTATCTTATAAAGTCATCTCTGCTTCCAGTGTTTAGCTTTCACTGAAACCTACACTTCTTACTATCTATACTCTAATATCTATACAAACTAGTCCATTCTGCAGGGTTTGGGTGTCTCCTTCCTATAACTGATATTTCATGTTACCTAATTCTGTTTTAACTAAATAAAACGTAATTTATCTGTGTAAGTATGTGACTTTACGCCTAAACTTAAACTGAAATGCTTGAATTAGTTTGAATCTAATGTATTTTTCATGTTTTGCTTCTATAATTATTTTTCTGTAAAGTATTGAACTGAACAGAACCTTCCTGTAGAGCAAACCGGGTCAGAACACTGGTCTGCCTGCAGATACAGAAACATTTATTATATCTCTTAATCCTAAACAAATGTTTTGTCGGAGACCAATTAACTAACTGAGCTACAGTGATAAGAAGGTCTTAAGCTGTTAAACTACGCCGCCTAATGTGGCAGAGATAAGAAAATTAATTACCTGCAGCAAAGATGTGAGAGCAGAGGCCGCCTAAAGTTCTGCAGAACAAACTTAAATATACTGACTGAACATAGGCAAAACTAACACTGACCTAAAAGTAGTAAATCTTTAAAACTGAAACTATTATCATCATTATACAAACTAAAAATGCAAATATAAATAAATAAAAAAAGATGGAAGCTAAAATACTTGAGGATATTCCAGTTCCTGAAAAGAACAGAACCAGAGGCAGAAATTAACCTTCAGAAACAGCAAGAAGCCTTTTAAACTGCAGCCTAGAAACACAGAGGCAGCAGAGAAGCCAAATGTTTCCCAGTAAACAAGATAAAACCAGTAAAACTCCCTGAAACTGTTCCTGTCTGGGATCCCTCCTCATCCCAGCTGCTTATTCTTTCTAACGACTTTTACATTAATTAACAAGCGTAATGAAAACCACTTTGAACAAAAAGAAATGAATGAATAATGTAAACATTCAGATGAAATGAATCAGTAAAAGTGGGATAGGTTGTACCTGTCCATGACTCCAGCTAACGTCCACCCGGCCCTTCACGCAGCTCTCCAGACGGATGGGGCTTCCAGACACAAAGTGTTTGCTCTCCAAGCACAACCCGCTGCCGACGTTACGGACCTTCAGCGACACACAGTAGATACATCACAGCCAGGAAAAGCACTGAAGCTGCAGAAGCAGCAATTAGGTACGGGATTTAAAAACTGTTCTTAACAGAAACATAATCTAACAGACGCACATCTGGACAAACACCTGTAACAGTCAAAATAACAAGTCAGAGTTATGCTTAATAAAGTCTGATGTCTTTAAACTAGTTTATTCTATGAATTCATTAGGTTACAGTGTAGATTATGCTAAAACCACATAAACTATCAACATTATGACCTCCCATTGCCACCCATGGCCTCCCATGGTTTCCCATGGTCTCCTATGGTCTCCCATGACCTACCATGGTCTCTCATGGCCACCCATGGCCTCCCATGGTCTCTCATGGCCTCCCATGGTCTCTCATGGCCACCCATGGTCTCCCATGGCCTCCCATGATCTCCAATGGTCTCCCATGGTCTCCAATGGTTTCCCATGGCCACCCATGGTCTCTCATGGCCTCCCATTGTTTCTCATGGCCTCTCATGGTCACCCATGGTTTCCCAGGGTCTCCTATGGTCTCCCATGGCCTCCCATGGTCTCTCATGGCCTCCCATGGTTTCCCATGGCCACCCATGGTCTCTCATGGCCTCCCATGGTCTCCCATGGTCTCTCATGGCCTCCCATGGTCTCTCATGGCCTTCCATGGTCTCCCATGGTCTCTCATGGTCTCCCATGGCCACCCATTGTTTCTCATGGCCTCTCATGGTCACCCATGGTTTCCCAGGGTCTCCTATGGTCTCCCATGACCTCCCATGGTCTCCCATGGTTTCCCATGACCTCCCATGGTCTCCCATGGTCTCTCATGACCTCCCATGGTTTCCCATGACCTCCCATGGTCTCCCATGGTCTCTCATGGCCTCCATGGGTGGCCCATAGGAGACCATAGGAGACCATGGGAAACCATGGCCTCCCATGGTTTCCCATGGCCACCCATAGTCTCCCATGGCCTCCCATGGTCTCTCATGGCCTCCCATGGTCTCCCATGGCCACCCATGGTCTCTCATGGCCTCCCATGGTCTCTCATGGCCTCCGATGGTCTCCCATGGTTTCCCATGGCCACCCATGGTCTCTCATGGCCTCCCATGGTCTCCCATGGTCTCTCATGGCCTCCCATGGTCTCCCATGGCCACCCATGGTCTCTCATGGCCTCCCATTGTCTCCCATGGTCTCTCATGGCCTCCCATGGTCTCCCATGGCCACCCATTGTTTCTCATGGCCTCTCATGGTCACCCATGGTTTCCCAGGGTCTCCTATGGTCTCCCATGACCTCCCATGGTCTCCCATGGTTTCCCATGACCTCCCATGGTCTCCCATGGACTCTCATGGCCTCCATGGGTGGCCCATAGGAGACCATGGGAGACCATGGCCTCCCATGGTTTCCCATGGCCACCCATAGTCTCTCATGGCCACCCATAGTCTCTCATGGTTTCCCATGGCCACCCATAGTCTCTCATGGCCTCCCATGGTCTCTCATGGCCTCCCATGGCCTCCCATGGTTTCCCATGGTCTCCTATGGTCTCCCATGACCTACCATGGTCTCTCATGGCCACCCATGGTCTCCCATGGCCTCCCATGGTCTCTCATGGCCTCCCATGGTCTCTCATGGCCTCCCGTGGTCTCTCATGGCCACCCATGGTCTCCCATGGCCTCCCATGGTCTCTCATGGCCACCCATGGTCTCCCATGGTCTCTCATGGCCTCCCATGGTCTCTCATGGCCTCCCATGGTCTCTCATGGCCACCCATGGTCTCCCATGGCCTCCCATGGTCTCTCATGGCCACCCATGGTCTCCCATGGCCTCCCATGGTCTCTCATGGCCTCCCATGGTCTCTCATGGCCTCCCATGGTCTCTCATGGTCTCCCATGGCCACCCATGGTCTCCCGTGATCTCCAATGGTCTCCCATGGCCACCCATGGTCTCCCATGATCTCCAATGGTCTCCCATGGTCTCCCATGGTCTCTCATGGCCTCCCATGGCCACCCATTGTTTCTCATGGCCTCTCATGGTCACCCATGGTTTCCCAGGGTCTCCTATGGTCTCCCATGGCCTCCCATGGTCTCTCATGGCCTCCCATGGTTTCCCATGGCCACCCATGGTCTCTCATGGCCTCCCATGGTCTCCCATGGTCTCTCATGGCCTCCAATGGTCTCCCATGGTCTCTCATGGCCTCCCATGGTCTCCCATGGTCTCTCATGGTCTCCCATGGCCACCCATTGTTTCTCATGGCCTCTCATGGTCACCCATGGTTTCCCAGGGTCTCCTATGGTCTCCCATGACCTCCCATGGTCTCCCATGGTTTCCCATGACCTCCCATGGTCTCCCATGGTCTCTCATGACCTCCCATGGTTTCCCATGACCTCCCATGGTCTCCCATGGTCTCTCATGGCCTCCATGGGTGGCCCATAGGAGACCATAGGAGACCATGGGAGACCATGGCCTCCCATGGTTTCCCATGGCCACCCATAGTCTCCCATGGCCTCCCATGGTCTCTCATGGCCTCCCATGGTCTCCCATGGCCACCCATGGTCTCTCATGGCCTCCCATGGTCTCTCATGGCCTCCCATGGTCTCTCATGGCCTCCCATGGTCTCCCATGGTTTCTCATGGCCTCCCATGGTCTCCCATGGCCACCCATGGTCTCTCATGGCCTCCCATGGTCTCTCATGGCCTCCCATGGTCTCCCATGGCCACCCATTGTTTCTCATGGCCTCTCATGGTCACCCATGGTTTCCCAGGGTCTCCTATGGTCTCCCATGACCTCCCATGGTCTCCCATGGTTTCCCATGACCTCCCATGGTCTCCCATGGTCTCTCATGGCCTCCATGGGTGGCCCATAGGAGACCATAGGAGACCATGGGAGACCATGGCCTCCCATGGTTTCCCATGGCCACCCATAGTCTCTCATGGCCACCCATAGTCTCTCATGGTTTCCCATGGCCACCCATAGTCTCTCATGGCCTCCCATGGTTTCCCATGGCCTCCCATGGTTTCCCATGGCCACCCATAGTCTCTCATGGCCACCCATAGTCTCTCATGGCCACCCATAGTCTCTCATGGCCACCCATAGTCTCTCATGGCCACCCATAGTCTCTCATGGCCACCCATAGTCTCTCATGGTTTCCCATGGCCACCCATAGTCTCTCATGGCCTCCCATGGTCTCCCATGGTTTCCCATGGCCTCCCATGGCTTCCCATGGCCACCCATAGTCTCTCATGGCCTCCCATGGTTTCCCATGGCCTCCGAAGGTCTCTCATGGCCTCCCATGGTCTCTCATGGCCTCCCATGGTCTCCCATGGTTTCCCATGGCCTCCCATGGTCTCTCATGGCCTCCCATGGTCTCTCATGACCTCCCATGGTCTCCCATGGCCTCCCATGGTCTGTTGCCTGTCAGGTGCGCAGATTGACCTCCTCATGGTCAAACATGGTTTCCCATGACCTCCCATGGTCTCTCATGGCCTCCATGGGTGGCCCATAGGAGACCATAGGAGATCATGGGAGACCATGGCCTCCCATGGTTTCCCATGGCCACCCATGGTCTCTCATGGCCTCCCATGGTTTCCCATGGTCTCCCATGGTCTCTCATGGCCTCCCATGGTCTCCCATGGCCTCCCATGGTCTGTTGCCTGTCAGGTGCGCAGACTGACCTCCTCATGGTCAAACATGGCGTTCATTACGTCCATGACTCCAACAGAAGTCCAATAATGAAACATCAGGTGGAATTCAGCCCAAAGCGTTTTGATGGCAACAAAAAACATTTGACTGAGATGCCAAAAATATTACATCTTTATAACTTTAAATCTATTCTAGATTATTAATTCAAACTAACTTAAACAGTGAACTAAAGGAAAGCTTACCTCCCCCCATGCAGCAGCGGGGGGCTCCACAGGCGGGTAATGTTTAGGCAGATCCCAGGCCACCTCGCTCATGAACCACTTAAAATTCTTGCAGTTGAGTTTGCTGCGTAGCTCCTTCTGCGACGTCACGTCTCCTGCTGACAGGTGGCGGTACTCGGGCCGCCGCTGGTAGATGTACTCGGCGTACTCATCCATCCACACCTCTGCTACACGCTTCAGGTTCTGAAATCAGAGCAGAATTATTCAGCTACGGCCATTTTATATTAATCCTTCTCCTTACACACAGAAACATATAGAGTTTAATTCTGTTACTTTTTATGAATATCGCTTAAATAAGTTTTGTAGCAACAATAAGCAATTTCTTTGAAGACACCATGGAGAAGATCGCTGACTGAAAATTCCAGCAGTCCCTAAGTGACTGACCAAGACGGTAAGCCGTAAAGGTCATGCCAAAGAGGACGGCCATTAACTGACTGCTACATTCAAACATAGTATTAAAGTATCGATCATTATAAGACATTTTAATCAAAGAAAACAGTGATGTAGACGTAACAGTAACATTAGCAGCCTTGACAGATAACAGGTTAATTCAGGCCCTGGGAAACATTTGATCCTTTCACTAAGCTACCTCTGACATACGGGCAGGTTTAGAAAATAATGTCCAATGCTAAGGAGAAACTGGACGGTAACTCAGGGGTCTAAAGTCCTCTTTTAAGATCAAAGGCAGTTAGAGTTTATTCAACTATCAAGGTCCGATAGCCTGAGAGAGACGGGAGAGGAACAGAATCCATTTGCTTCAGATTTAAGACACAGAAGTAAAGATTTTTTAATATAAACCGTCTGATCTCCAAACTAAGGAGACGTCTGATTTATTTACAGCAAGATTGAAACAACTATTACCTGCTTCTGCTGTACAGTGCAGAGAAACACCTTTAAGTGAGGCAAACTTCTCTGATTAGTTTTATGTGTTTATTTCCTAATTAATGAGAAGTCATTTTTAATAACATTAAACATTATTACTTAATTTAACAAAAATTAATACCAGATATAAATAATCAGTGTTTAATCAGCGGCAGTGTAAGTTTAAAAAAATTTGAAATTAACCTAAATTGATATTAGAACTAATTTTAGAAACATTCTACAAACAAAGCGATGTTATCTCTTTAATAAATTCTGGCAATATGAACATCTGAGTGTAAATATTACTGTATCAAATGACTAGATTCCAAATTTGGCTTCAAATTCCCATGTAGAAACAATCCACCAGGGTAATTAGAGATTCAAGCACTTGAAGCTTTATTAATGTAAAGGATTAGAGGAAGGAGCTGCTTCTGAAGCGTGCCTGCATGTTTAGGAGAACAGGCTGAAGCCTTAGAGGTACGAACGATGAAAGGAAGAATAATCTGGGCTCAGCAATGCTCCCAGGGCAGAATAAAAACATCTCCTCCAGCCTCACAGCTACAGATGTTTTGGGAAAGTGCTTCCAGCCACACAGAGACCCTGCAGCACGGCTCATTGCCTGCAGCCAAACTAAAGCTCTCAGCTACTTTAGCTGAACCTGAGAGCAGCGCCTGCTTTTCCCAGCAGGCTGACTGCATTCACAGGATCCTGTGATCCACACAGGCTGTCAGCAAAGCCGTCTGGAGGATTTCAGATTCACAACCGCAGCGGCTGCTAGAGGGACCTGCTGACTGTAGCAGTTATAGGAGAAATATGCTTCCTCACTGAGACATGCTCAAAGACTTTTATACTGAAATGGGACAGGAAGATTATTTACTTTAAACTTCTACAACTTAGAAATGCTCCAACAATACAAACTCAAGAATCCAGATTCAAATATATTTAGATAAATTACAACAAAAATGCAAAGTTGGGATGTTTGGAGCAGTGAACACTAAAGCCAAGATGAAACAAAGAATTCAAGCACTGCTGGTATAAACCTGTGAAAGCACGCTATCAAGCTAATGTCTAACGTGACTAAAACAGTCCTGCTTCTCAGTTCACAACAACGTGAGTACGGACTCATGTTCTCGCCATCATGTTCTTAAGAAGAACCCAGGAAAGTCTGGACTCTGGGAGAACAGGAGCACGCAGAATCAATCTGGGTCAGCTGGAACAGAAGCGTACTGATGACATCACCACACGCTCTGCTCTTCTAGAGCTGCATTTCACCTCCTGTTATTAATAGTCTCTAGATTATAATAAATTATGACTTTTTTTATTTAGTGGAGGAATAATAATGAACACAGTCAGATTAACACAAATCAAATGAACATTTTACCAAATAAAACAATCAAACCTCCATCAGAGCCAGCGGTGCTTCACACACGGCTATGCAGAGAGAGGACTGCTGCAGACGGGCTAACGTTAGCCCTGGCTGCTGCAGACGTTTATTATTAAAACTAATAATATAAGATATTATTAGTTTTGGTCACATTTTAGTCATTGAGATATGGGATAGTTTTAGTCGGTTTTAGTCGAGTAAAACCTAAAACTGTTTTATTCTAGTCTAGTAAGTAGTAGTGCAGTAGTGTAGCATTGTAAGTAGTGTAAGTAGTAATGCATTTTAAGCGTCTGAACGACGACCTGCTAATTGTTATTTCATCTTGTTGAATAAAACTCACACCCTTAACTCTCTTAACGTAAAACAACACTGGACTAAAAGAGAATATTTAAACAGGAGTTTGTTTTTTTAAGTGTTGATGGAGAGAAAAGATAAAAGTGTTTTTTTCATTTGAACTCTGTGCTGATTTCTGTCAGACTGACTTTATTCACTGGATGAAAGACGATCGTATCTCAGGATCCAAAGGACCCCTGTCACCACCAACATCTCTCCGCCTGATTTCCATCACAAAACGCATCTAAAAATGTTGCTAAATGAAAAGACTTTTTTTAATTATCATTATTTGTATTTTTTCCTCACAAACAAGTTTGAACCTTTTTATTTTTTCTGGCTCCTATGGATCCTCAGGCGGCACATAACCAAAGCCTTGGATATCCTCCCGTCTTCTCTGCAGAAGTAGTTTCAGACGCATTTCTTATTCTCTGTCAAGTTTCTAGGATGTTTTGCTTCTTTCAGATAGTTCAGCTCTTTGTCTGTAAGCCGTTCAACCTGAGCTGCATTTATACAGGATGTTCTCCAGGCCTTAAAATCACCATGTTGAACAGATTAACCACCCCTGACACCCACCTCCATCCTCAGCCTCTTCACTCTGGCTTCTCTCTTCTGTCCAACCTGTTATATTGACCCCAGTCAGTTAAACTAACTCGCCTTATGAATCTCTCCCATCCGCTCAGATTCACTGTTTGTTATGTTAACTTTTCATTCCTCTCATAAGGTCACTACGTCTACAGGCTCTAACACATGCGTCCACAGCAGCGCACAGATCACGCTGCCATCAGCAAACATCCCTGCATCAACCGCTCTGTCCAACTGCAACAAAAAGGACTTTTAAAAAGGTTATTCTAAGTTTACCTTTAGGGAAAGCAAAGTAAATAATTACCACATTCTTTTAATAATACATTTTTGTAATATTCAGAGATCATGTAAAACGACACATTTCCAATCATAAATGTTGCTTTTTTTCATGACGTTGCCAACGAGGATAACAAATACCAATTATGATGATTTTATATCCCATTGTCACTGCAACTATTCTTAAATAATACATAATTTTATCTTTTTAGCTTTTCTTTGGTATATATTTTTCCACATTCCACAACAGCAGCATGCTTATTAGTGCACTGTGCCTTTAATCTGTGTGCAGAATGTGGTTTGCCGTTGTCTGCATAAACTCATTGGGACAGACGTAGCCCTATAAAATATATCTGCAGCAACTTTCATCATTAATGGCAGAAACGAGCCTAAAACAAGCTGTGCCATTAATATTATTACTGCAGTACCATAATAAAGCCTAGAATGCCGCCATTTTCCTTCTTAGGCTGAGAACACATGAAATACTGATCAATCAGCCACTGATCCATGTTCCAACTCTGGTCCCATAAAACTCTGTTTCCATGTTTGGTTAATATAACTATTCCTTATTTCTGCACATTAATGATGTTTTTGATAAAAATCCTTTGGCTAAAATACCATCAGAACGCTGATAATATTAAGTGTGTCTCAGCCCCCCCCTCAGTGTCCACCATATTGGATCAGTCCATTTGCTGCACATGTTCAGAAAGGTCCAAACAGACAGCAGCAAACCATTTGAAAACAAACCATGCAAAGAGCAGTGTTGCCAACTTAGCGCTTTAGTCGCTATATTTAGCCACTTTTCAGACCCCTCTAGCACTTTGATTTCTAAAAAGCTCCTAGCGCCAAATCTAGAGACTTTTTTCTGGAGACTTTGGAGACGACATCTAAAAGCAGCGAACTCTGCTCTCCAGAGCGAGTAGATTGGTAACCCCGCCTCCTGCTCTCCTCTATCTTGTCTGCTGTCATGATTCATGCAGCTATTATTTCATCCAAATGAAAAATGGAGAACAGATAAGCAGATCATGGCTTGTCTACAGTGAAAAGAAGGACTGGGTTATTTACTTTGGCCTTTTTGGAAACACAGGAAGGAGCAATCAGCTAACTGAGCTTAGTGCTATGTGTTTTCTTCTCCATTTAGAGGGGCCCCTGCCTGTATTTGCCTAGGGCCCCAGAGTTCCTAAATCTGCCCCTGGTGGAAGGCAGAACAGCCACTTTGGGGAGTTGGATTCTATTTACTTCTTTAATCTGTAGTTTTCTCAAACATCCTCAGAAATAAGCAGTTTAACAGAAGCCTGTAACGCAGCATCCACCAGCAGCAGTGCCTCTGCACAATGTTTGGTCTTTGATCCGTCGGTAACTGATGACGCTTCAGAAAGCCGCTCCCTGCAGAGGACAACGTTGCAAACTTTATGGAGATTCAAACCTTCAGTCTGCAGAGCAGGGCAAAAAAAACAACCTGATGATAAAATGCAGAAAGTTTCCAACTTAGTCACTATACTTAAAGACTTCCAATCCCTTTAGCAACTTTGTGACTTTGTGTTGTTGGAGACTTTAGGATTAATACGTGAAAACAGGTGGGAGTGAGCTCCTCCCTCCCCCTAGAGGGAGTCAAACGCAGCTCTGCAGCCAAAGCCTGCAGGAAGTTCTCCTCCGGTTCTCTGACTGAAAGCCAGGTACACACACCCTGCTTAAATTGAAAAGGAAGATGTTAATATATATATTATAATATGATTGATACAGGTCTCCACTGTGTTTGATTCATGCATCAGAGGTCTATAGGTTCAGTCACATGTTCAGCTAAATCAGCCGTAATCATTAATATTCAGCTACAAGCATTTCTGCATTTTAAGGGTTTTGAAAAAGTTGACAGAACTTTCCGGGGGCAAACAAAACGTCTATTAATGTCCGACTTTTCCACCAACAGAAAGTCGGCCATCTTGAGGACTGAGATTTGGTACAATGTTCTAACCAACCGGAACCTCTAACTAAACTCTACTACAGCGTTGGTCTAAACTCCACATTTCTCTCATCTACTGATGTGTTGTGTTTGAATTAACTCCATCTGAAGCTTCTGAGGGACAGACTTTAAATTCCTCATACAGACATTGGGGGTCAAAGTGATTGAAAGATTTTATGTCTGCATTAATGAATATGGGCGGGGCCAAATTCAGACTTCTCCTCATAAATGAAAAGTTTTTTTGTCTCCAGGCTGAACTTTTACTGCGGATTAATTTACCAAGACCCATAAAAAGGCCTCTTGTTCCAATGGTCCCACCTCCACAGGAAGTCAGCCATTTTTAATCAAAGCTTTGGACTTACAGGCTTTAAATGGACAATTCATAGACTTAATGGATCAGGGATTAAACGCTATCAAAATATCTTTCCTGCATGTTTGCATGTGTGAAGCATCGAAACTAAAGTTGTTGTCAGGATCCACACCGGATTTCAGCTCCATTATGTTTGCGTTGTGTTATCTCCAACCAGCGAAAAACAAACAGGAATCAAGGCCAATATTTGGTGCACTCTCCACAGCGCCCCCTACGAACATGACCTAGCATTACATCTGACTTCCAGCCATCATGGTACTAGAACTTCCACAGAAGGGTATAAATCGGATTTGAGGCAAATCAGGGTTGGCGATTCCAGGTCTAAGGTCACCTGCGACTTTTAGTTTCGCTTTATGCTTTAAATTGATTATAATGAAATGAACAGAAAGCAGCATTTTGGCCAAATATGATTTTTCACTATTTTCATTTTGTTTCACTTACATTCTAAACACTTTCCAGAAAAATGGAAAAGAAGTTTGCAAAGTTTTTTTTTTATTACTGGAAATTTAAACATAAATCTTTTCTCCTACAACTTGTAGAAATTCAAGGTTATTTTTTACTTTTATAATTTTTCCATTATAATGAGTTTATTTTTTTTTCTGTTTTTTTTTATTTAATTAGCTTTTATTTTTCCTTTTTTGTGTTTTTTATCTTTTTAAGTCATATTAAAGGTGCTACACAAAAAGCTAGACTTTTACCAAAGTCGAATGCATAAAATAATTAATGGATAATATTTCTACAAACACATTCTACCAACTTTAGGTCAAACATGAAATAATATCTAAACATAAAACACTGAGATGCAAATAAATGACTGTAAATGGAAACCAGCTCTCTGTCCATCTATTGAAATCAACATGAAGGTAAATGATGAGTCTCACCCTTGCCAAACTGACCCCCCCTGGAACTTTATAGGGGACGTATTTCCTGTAGATGTGTCCCACCCGTGAGCAGGGGATGTCCTCCATCCGACCGCCACACATCCATACCTGGAGTGACATAAAGGGAGGGGAGTCAGCAGAGATCTGCATCAGAAAATGTTGTTTTATTTGTGCATCAGAGGAACAGATTGGAGATTATAGAAAACGCAGCACAGAATAACGAAAAGGCTAACGGCAGTTAGATCTAAAAGAACAAGATTAGCAGGACAGGAGGTTCTGGCATGGGATAATGTGAACCAGCAGAAAGAAATAAAAGTATCCAACTCAAAAGTAGAGACAGAGGTGAAGACTTGGAGTCATTTCTGGCACCCTTCAGATATCTACAAACCACAATCTGTGATTGCAGCATTATTGAAATGGTTCAACACTTAAATTACACACAGCTGAGCGAGGAAAAGTCAATTGCTCTTAGAAGAATAAGAGGCTAGAATTGAAATTTGAAAGCCAATTCAGAGGAGAGGAGCGAGCTTTTCAAGTACAAACAGCTCAGAAATGAAATGGCAAAGACTAGCTGATGAAAATGTTTATATAAAACAGCAGACTGATGAGTGCAGTAAACACAGTCAGCCCAAAAACTAGCAAAGCTAATGCTACGGAAAAGGACACAGACTTTATAAACTCTGCAGAGAAAACTGCTGTTTATAAAGAAAACATTTTACAAACATTTCTAATGTCTTTCAGTTCAAGAAGATTTATAAACTGTCCTTCTAATGTATAAAGCCTAAATAACAACCTGTCTACTTTTAAGGCTAGGCTTAAAACTTTCCTTTTTGATAAAGCTTCTAGTTAGAGTGGCTCAGGTTATCCTGAGCTATCTCTATAGTTCTGCTGCTATAGGCTTAGACTGCTGGAGGACATAGGGACCCCTTTAATCTCCTGGTATTATCTGCATCATCTGTTAGTTCAACTCCCAACTTCTCTGATTTTTCCCATCCTAGTACAGAAGCTTGGTCCGGCTCAGTGGAGCTGATGCCACAGTAGAAACACCTGGAAGTAGCCATTGATTAAAAACAGAGTTTTGATTTGCAGGTAGACTTGGTGGTTAAGAAAAGCAAAGCAGCAAACTCACCTTTATTGTATGCTTCATACTTTTTTTTTATCTCAGTTCTGTTTTTCTAAAGATATTAATTCCTATTTTGTTAAAAACTATTCTTACTTTTAGTTGTATTTGATGGCACAACTAACATTGCATCAAAAAATAAGAATATCCTGCAAAGTATTATCCTGGTTCTAAGCTGGGATGTTGCTGTTAATAAAATATGGCCTTTCTTCCAGTGCTTAGTCCTGTTTCTCTCCTAGACATAGCTGTGGGCTTAGTTTTTACTCCATGTTCTTTCTTTCACCCTAATGGAAAATGAAACCTTCTCATCTGCTGAACTGTTTTGTTCCTAAACGAGCCTCCGATGGGGCAGGTTTACCGTTATCCATCACGGCTTCTATCTTCTTCTATGTCTGATTCTGTCTCCTTAAAGCCCCGGTTAGCCTCAGCAGAAGGATGCTCACACCGTGCTTTAAAATTTTCTGCTCTACTCTCACTGCTTGTATGACACGATTCATTGATGAATGTCTTTAAAACTGAGAACAGGCTATTTCTCATACTTTTGTTTATGAACTGTCTCTATCAAATCCTTTGTAAGGAAAACTTCTGAATGATAAAAAGATATTATTTTATTGGCAGTAAAACTACAGAAATCCAAATGCGGCTCGTTTGGTTGCCCTTGGTTGCAGTTATTGATCTGCACAAAAGTTAACATCTACTATAGGCGCTGTGAAAATAATAAAACATGTGGAATTGGCCTAAATGGGAAAAACAGCCTCTGAGCTTTTTAAAGTCGAGGGTCTGAATGATTCATCCCGATTATTTATCAAAGGTTGAATGTTGTTGGAAGACATGATGTAATACTGTGACAGCATAATGTGTAAATCCTGAGTTATTCAACAGAACAGGCAGAAATCTTTCCCATAATGACCTTTTTTACTGAAGACATTTTGACACCAATCCAGGAGTCCAACCGAGATGATGAAGGCTCCTGGACGGGTGTCTGAAGGTATTTTAGAAAACGGAGTGAAGTCCTGATTTAATGCTGTTTGGTGGTTATGATGGAGATATAAGAACATGAAGCTTTTTGCTCCCAATCAGAAACAAGCAGCGTTTTTTTGCTGCACTATAAGCCGACCTTAGAAGGTCTTTTTTGGACAAATTGCTTCCTTCTGTTTGCAAACCTCCAACCTGACAAAAACAACACGATGAAATCTAGATTTCTACTCCTGCAACCTTTAGAGATTAATAACAATTTATCAGCCCATTTATTCATCTATTCGTCTTTTATGTTGTAAGAAATGTTTTGCATCTTTGATTACATAAAGTAGGGATGGATATTTTTAAAAGCAAGCCACATTATAAAAAAATAAAACTAGTTTATGCTGCATAATGAGGGTTTATTGGAAGAATAAAGTCTACTTTGTCAAAGCTTGGACCAACGTTAAGACTGATATGAATTATTTTGAAATAAAATCTCTATTCTGTATTCAGCGCAGTAACGCAGGGCAAAGCCTGCTTTGTTGATGTTTCTTTGTTGGCTTATCAGAGTTTGTGTTTAATTGGATCAGAGAAATTACCTTCAGAAGTTAATCCTCTACAGTAAGTGACTTCATGGATAACTGAGTCACTTTCATTCACTTCCTATTAGTAATGAGTCACCAAGCATAGGTAAGAAGTGGGAAGAGCTAAAAGAGATTTGACAGTAAATTCAATTTTTGACAAAAGGTTTCTCTCCCAGAAATGCAGAGTGTAGGAAAATGTATTTAAAAGAACAATCAGTGCAGCATGTGTCCCATCAAATCCACCTTCTCTGCAAAGACTTCTGTGCTTAATTGAGTGAGACGACAAAAGTCCTTAGTTGTTGGGAGCATAATCGAATTATCCTGAAGGGTTGTTGTGTGTTTGTCCAGAGCTTTCTGACAGCGGCCGCCGAGACGAGTCACAAGCGCTTACAGAATAATTCATGCTGAAGCGCCAGACAGAAACATCATCTAATACGGAGCTCAGAGTATGATGGATGTGAAAGCTGGACCCTTCAACGCTTCGTACCCGGCTCTGGAGCTGAACACAGAATGCTGCTCAAAAAGTCTTAACCCATTTAGGCCGGGAAAGCATTACCGCATTTCTACCATTCAAGCCGGGGGCGCTGTTGCGTAATTCTACCATTGACGCCGGGAGAGCATATAAGTCAAGCAAGAAGAAAGAAGTTTTTTTCAAGCAAACATGGAGGAGTTTGACAGAGAAGAGTTGTCGGAAGGCAGTGATTTTGAGGAGTGTGTCGGCTTTGATGACGGTATAGATGAAAATGATGACTTTGAACGCGCTGAACCAATCGAACTACCACCGCAATGCACGGAGTGTTTTCAACTGCACACCTGGAGTGAAAGTTGATTTGCCTGCAGACGCCACACCGTTGCAGGCATTTGAGCATATTTTTAATGAAGAACTTTGGATGCATCTAGTTACAGAGATGAATAGGTACAGTGACCAAACAAACCAAACTCCAACAAGAGCAAAGATGGCAAAGTGGTCACCCGTGACTGTGACGGAGATGAAGACATTTATTGGGCTGTGTATGTAAACCTCTCTTCAGGACGCAGTTCCCCCAAAATATGTCCCGGGACAGATTTGTGGCCATCTGGAGGTAGGTTGTATGCAATTTATAACACAGACATATGCATTATTATGCATAATAATACTGTTAATAAGTAATCATCAGATAGTTATTTATGTAATGTTTGTTCTTTATTTTGAAAACGTTTTATATTGCACATTCTCAATGAAGACATGACATATGGAAAAAATAAAAGGTTGAATTTTTTTTTTTTTGATTACTGCTTTTCACATTTTTTTTTTTTGGAAGAATTTCAAAGATAAAATATATTTTGAGTTCTATCTGCTACAGAAGCTGAGATATCAATAATGTAGGCGTTGACACAGTTGCTGAATTTACAGAAAAACTTCAGGTTTTAGGGGTATTTTTTAAAATCGGCCATAGGTTTTTAAGGTGTTTTTTCCAGGCGTTTTAGGCCTAAATGGGTTAAACACTAATAAGCTCTGGATGAAACGGTTTCTAAAATATCCTAAAAAAGGAGTTTTATCTTATTTATTAAAACTAGGAAGATCAATCTGCTACTTGGCCTCCTGTGCACAACCTGAGCCGGTCACAGCGTTAGGAAAGCTCTGCGTTTAAACCTGCAAGCTTTCTCTCTCCCCATCTTTTCCTGAGGATTGATGCTATAAAAACTCTTTGGTTCAGATATGCAAAAAAAAAAAGACAGAAGAAAGAAGAAGATTCCTAATCCTCCTATTTCCCTGAAATTTGTGTTATTGGCACCTTTAACCGCCACCTTGCTGCAAATCAAGCTTAAAGCCTCCTTCAAATTATTGGCTCTCCTTTTCAATTTGGCATCAAACCAAAATGGCTTCCAGCAAAGCAATGCTGCGGGCTCTGGTTCTACAGCTAATTTCCTGATGTTTATGTCTGTAGACATTCATTAAAATTCAGTCAGTCCAAGGATATAAGTTAAGTGCCTTCAGATAGACACTGGCTGCCAATTAAACTAATTCAGGGGCCACAAATGGTGGAACATGACATGAAAACTGATGGATGTTCACTTTTTTACCATTATCATTGATTCACTTTTAGATGGCTGAAAGAAAAGCATTACATAAAACGAATGCTGTCAGATCAGATAATGGGAAAAAGGTAAATTATGTAAATTGTGACAGGCCTGCGTACGCACTTCCTGCTTCAAAACAGAGAGGATGTTCAGTAGTATTTGTTCACACAGCTTAAATGTCTGCACAAGTGTTTTATTTTTCACCTTGAAGGAAATCTCGTACTGCTCCCCTCCCCAGATCTCCAGACCAGTGTCGTATCCCCCCAGCTCCCAGAACCACTTTCTGTCCACAGCAAACAGCCCCCCCGCCATCACAGGAGACCTGGAAGATAAGACAGCGAGCGGTGAGATCATCCGGAGAAGGAATAAACTAATTAAAATACGTAAAATGTAGAATAACAGCAGAGAGAGAAAGTTAGAGTTTTCATTCTTATTTAGGAGCTTTTTCCACATATAAGTCAGTTACTCTAAACTTGCTAAATGTTTGAATATTAATTGGTTGAATTTTAATTATGCAAATAAAAAAACAGACACAGGAAAGTCAACCTCTTGGAAAGGAACATTAACCAAATCTAATTTATTTAGCAAACCTAAACAGCACAACACCATCTTTATTCAAATTGCTATTGATTTATTGATCCATAAAGGAAACTCAGGCATCAATCATCCAAGAAAACCTCTGAAGCCTAAAGAGATGAAAAATATCCTGAGGCCAGAAAAGGCATTTCACCAGGTTCTAATCCTCAGTGACATGAACACCAAACAAATAAATATATATATACACGAATCTGTGAGTCCTGGTGACCAGATGGTGACTAGATGGTGACCAAATGGTGACTAGATGGTGACCAGATGGTGACTAGATGGTGACCAGATGGTGACCAGGTGGTGACCAGCTGGTGACCAGGTGGTGACTAGGTGGTGACTAGATGGTGATGAGATGGTGACCAGATGGTGACCAGCTGGTGACCAGGTGGTGACCAGCTGGTGACTAGGTGGTGACTAGATGGTGATGAGATGGTGACCAGATGGTGACCAGCTGGTGACCAGATGGTGACCAGGTGGTGACCAGATGGTGACCAGGTGGTGACCAGGTGGTGACTAGGTGGTGACCAGATGGTGACCAGGTGGTGACCAGATGGTGACCAGGTGGTGACCAGCTGGTGACCAGGTGGTGACCAGGTGGTGACTAGGTGGTGACCAGATGGTGACCAGGTGGTGACCAGATTGTGACCAGATGGTGACCAGATGGTGACCAGGTGGTGACTAGGTGGTGACCAGATGGTGACCAGGTGGTGACCAGATTGTGACCAGATGGTGACTAGATGGTGACCAGGTGGTGACTAGATGGTGACCAGGTGGTGACCAGGTGGTGACCAGATGGTGACTAGATGGTGACCAGGTGGTGACTAGATGGTGACCAGATGGTGACCAGGTGGTGACTAGGTGGTGACCAGATGGTGACCAGGTGGTGACCAGATTGTGACCAGATGGTGACTAGATGGTGACCAGGTGGTGACCAGATTGTGACCAGATGGTGACTAGATGGTGACCAGGTGGTGACCAGATGGTGACCAGGTGGTGACCAGATTGTGACCAGATGGTGACTAGATGGTGACCAGGTGGTGACTAGATGGTGACCAGGTGGTGACCAGATGGTGACTAGATGGTGACCAGGTGGTGACTAGATGGTGACCAGATTGTGACCAGATGGTGACTAGATGGTGACCAGGTGGTGACTAGATGGTGACCAGGTGGTGACCAGGTGGTGACCAGATGGTGACTAGATGGTGACCAGGTGGTGACTAGATGGTGACCAGATGGTGACTAGATGGTGACCAGATGGTGACTAGATGGTGACCAGATGGTGACCAGGTGGTGACCAGCTGGTGACCAGGTGGTGACTAGGTGGTGACTAGATGGTGATGAGATGGTGACCAGATGGTGACCAGCTGGTGACCAGGTGGTGACCAGCTGGTGACTAGGTGGTGACTAGATGGTGATGAGATGGTGACCAGATGGTGACCAGCTGGTGACCAGATGGTGACCAGGTGGTGACCAGATGGTGACCAGGTGGTGACCAGGTGGTGACTAGGTGGTGACCAGATGGTGACCAGGTGGTGACCAGATGGTGACCAGGTGGTGACCAGCTGGTGACCAGGTGGTGACCAGGTGGTGACTAGGTGGTGACCAGATGGTGACCAGGTGGTGACCAGATTGTGACCAGATGGTGACCAGATGGTGACCAGGTGGTGACTAGGTGGTGACCAGATGGTGACCAGGTGGTGACCAGATTGTGACCAGATGGTGACTAGATGGTGACCAGGTGGTGACTAGATGGTGACCAGGTGGTGACCAGGTGGTGACCAGATGGTGACTAGATGGTGACCAGGTGGTGACTAGATGGTGACCAGATGGTGACCAGGTGGTGACTAGGTGGTGACCAGATGGTGACCAGGTGGTGACCAGATTGTGACCAGATGGTGACTAGATGGTGACCAGGTGGTGACCAGATTGTGACCAGATGGTGACTAGATGGTGACCAGGTGGTGACCAGATGGTGACCAGGTGGTGACCAGATTGTGACCAGATGGTGACTAGATGGTGACCAGGTGGTGACTAGATGGTGACCAGGTGGTGACCAGATGGTGACTAGATGGTGACCAGGTGGTGACTAGATGGTGACCAGATTGTGACCAGATGGTGACTAGATGGTGACCAGGTGGTGACTAGATGGTGACCAGGTGGTGACCAGGTGGTGACCAGATGGTGACTAGATGGTGACCAGGTGGTGACTAGATGGTGACCAGATGGTGACCAGGTGGTGACTAGGTGGTGACCAGATGGTGACCAGGTGGTGACCAGATTGTGACCAGATGGTGACTAGATGGTGACCAGGTGGTGACCAGATGGTGACCAGGTGGTGACTAGATGGTGACCAGGTGGTGACCAGATGGTGACCAGGTGGTGACCAGATTGTGACCAGATGGTGACTAGATGGTGACCAGGTGGTGACTAGATGGTGACCAGGTGGTGACCAGATGGTGACTAGATGGTGACCAGGTGGTGACTAGATGGTGACCAGGTGGTGACCAGGTGGTGACCAGGTGGTGACTAGATGGTGACCAGGTGGTGACCAGGTGGTGACCAGATGGTGACCAGGTGGTGACCAGCTGGTGACCAGGTGGTGACTAGGTGGTGACCAGATGGTGACCAGGTGGTGACCAGATTGTGACCAGATGGTGACTAGATGGTGACCAGGTGGTGACTAGATGGTGACCAGGTGGTGACCAGGTGGTGACCAGATGGTGACTAGATGGTGACCAGGTGGTGACTAGATGGTGACCAGGTGGTGACCAGGTGGTGAACAGGTGGTGACCAGGTGGTGACCAGGTGGTGACTAGATGGTGACCAGGTGGTGACTAGATGGTGACCAGGTGGTGACCAGGTGGTGACCAGGTGGTGACTAGATGGTGACCAGATGGTGACCAGGTGGTGACCAGCTGGTGACCAGGTGGTGACCAGGTGGTGACTAGGTGGTGACCAGATGGTGACCAGGTGGTGACCAGATTGTGACCAGATGGTGACCAGATGGTGACCAGGTGGTGACTAGGTGGTGACCAGATGGTGACCAGGTGGTGACCAGATTGTGACCAGATGGTGACTAGATGGTGACCAGGTGGTGACTAGATGGTGACCAGGTGGTGACCAGGTGGTGACCAGATGGTGACCAGATGGTGACCAGGTGGTGACTAGGTGGTGACCAGATGGTGACCAGGTGGTGACCAGATTGTGACCAGATGGTGACCAGGTGGTGACTAGATGGTGACCAGATGGTGACCAGGTGGTGACTAGGTGGTGACCAGATGGTGACCAGGTGGTGACCAGATTGTGACCAGATGGTGACTAGATGGTGACCAGGTGGTGACCAGATTGTGACCAGATGGTGACTAGATGGTGACCAGGTGGTGACCAGATGGTGACCAGGTGGTGACCAGATTGTGACCAGATGGTGACTAGATGGTGACCAGGTGGTGACCAGGTGGTGACCAGGTGGTGACTAGATGGTGACCAGGTGGTGACCAGGTGGTGACCAGATGGTGACCAGGTGGTGACCAGCTGGTGACCAGGTGGTGACTAGGTGGTGACCAGATGGTGACCAGGTGGTGACCAGATTGTGACCAGATGGTGACTAGATGGTGACCAGGTGGTGACTAGATGGTGACCAGGTGGTGACCAGGTGGTGACCAGATGGTGACTAGATGGTGACCAGGTGGTGACTAGATGGTGACCAGGTGGTGACCAGGTGGTGAACAGGTGGTGACCAGGTGGTGACTAGATGGTGACCAGGTGGTGACCAGGTTGTGACCAGATTGTGACTAGATGGTGACCAGACGGTGACTAGATGGTGACCAGGTGGTGACTAGATGGGAACTTTTCATATTTTGTATTCATAAACACCAGGTCAGAGTCATGAAGTTCCCCTGAAAAGCAGCAGATGAATCAACAGTCCATCTGTTCTGCCACATCTTAAGACATAAGATCAAAACCTTCTCACCAACTAGAAGGGAGCCGGTAAAAACTTTACTATTTAGTGTAAATTAATAAGGACATAGAATAGGATTGATAAAGTGTGATGTAATATGTGATGAATGTTCTCCATTAAAGTGTTTATTTTAAATGCGGTGATCCCATGTGATGGATGCTCCTAAAGCACAGCTGCTATACAAAGGGCAGAATTTAGAAATAAATTGTTTCCCATATTTCATAGATAAGAATTTATAAAAATTATTTTTCTGTAAAACGCTTCTGCAACTGAAATCATAAAGATAGAGAAAGAAATTGATAAAAACTGTTTCGCATTTATTTTTATTTATCCTGATCTGGAAAACTAACATTTATTCCAGTTTCCACTGAAGGTATAAAAAAATTATTAGCAGGGACAGAAAACGCAACAGTTAAATTTAACATGAGCTTGAAAATTAATAAATATGTTTTCTTTTTTATATTGTTTTGCTTTTTCTCTTGATTTAAACAGGTACAATTTTGTCAATGGAATAAAATGAATTACATCTAAAATAAGAAAAAACTCTTATACAGTCTTATTTCAAGGGCAAAACTAGAAATATTTCAGTAGATATGACAACGTACAATAATCTAAGGAGAATTCAGGCAACTTCAATATATACTACATATAGTTAAAGAATCTATTTTTAATATTAAATAGAAGCAGAATGATGAAATATTTCAAACGTTTATATTCAGAGCAGCAATTAGTCCTAAATCAGCGGCAATAAGCCGTATTTATAAATGACCTGTAGG